TAAAATCCATTAGTATGATACTTGCCAAAGCCGTTTAGCAAGACTTGGAAGTTCATCAAAATGGATATATCGCTTTCTTAGTAGACATGGAACGACCTGAGGGTTTGTGGTTCCACGATGTGAAAAGAAAGTGTGTAATTGGTGAGATCATTGTATGGTTCGAAACGATTGCCTCAGTATTTGGCATGTAAGATTTTATCATACAATGATGTGTAACGAGTTTAGTATAAACAAATGTGATAAATGTCTACGTAATGCGTACGATAGACGAGGTTATCACTGTTTGTCTATACACGATAAAACTCAACGTGGGCAGTAACGATCAAATGATCAATTCTACCTTGAACATGTTAAATTTGATATTTGACATGAAGGATATGGGGGTTGGCAGATTTAATCCTCGGGATAAAAATTGTGAGAAGACCGTATGGTCTCGTGTTAAGCCAATCTCATTGTGTTGATTAAATCCTTGCAAAGGACGTTAATCAAGTGGCTTGGACACCGTTAGATACTAACGTACAACTAGCCGATAATCACGGAGATTGTATTTCTCACGGAGAATACATTTAGATTATCGGTATTTTAATTGTATCAAATGGGTTGTACTAGGCCGGATATTGCCTTTGCGGTTAACGAACTCGGTAGACATACGAGTAGCCCTAGTGTGGCGCACTAGAAGGCAATAGCAGTTATGAGATACTTAAGGTATGCTCGTGACTTTGGACTACACAACGTGGGATATCTAGTCGTACTTGGAAAGTATAACACGGATATCAAAGGACGCTAAGTCCATTAAAGGCTACGTCTTTATGTAGGCCGGTGCAGTCGGTTAAATGGAAATTCTCAGAAATGAATTTGTGATAGCTAAGATCCGACGGGATCAAAGCTGAGAGCCTTACACTCGTGTCGCGAACGAGTAGGCCGAATGGCTATGCCATTATTTTGAGAATGTTCATAGTGGTAAGCTCGTACCTCCAATTTGTGTGCATTGCGATAGTCAAGCCAAAATTGGCTAAGTACAGAGTTAGATGTGGAATGGTAAGTCTAGACTTATAAGTCATAGACATAATACCATTAAACAATTTCTCACAACGGGGTTATCTCGATTGAATACGTGATGTCAAAAGATAACGTAGCGGCCGCTAACTCGCTAACCCGAGGGTAAGCAAATCGTTGTGGAGAAGTTGGAACGAGGAATTGGTCTAAAGCCCTTAGACTAAAAGTTCTATAGTGGATACCGAACCTAGCTGGTACCTAGGTTCAATGGGACAACTAAATTATGGAACAGAACGTGTCACTGTGGGGGTCTCGGACTCCCTACCACTCCTCGTTAGAAACAGTGACTCCCGCGCAAGGTTAGCATGTTGATGCTTTAATGATTTGAATGTCGGTTGACATGTGTGAGTATGCGGGATACTCGGAAAAGAATCACCTATGTGAGAGAGATGTGAGGGTCGCTTCAAAGGAGAATTGATGGGCACAATTCTTCACAAACTCTTGCAGAACCAGGACGGTGAACCACGACCGAAATGGGCACACTCATGAGAACAGAGCATGGTTGGAAGGTTCCTGTGTGAGATATGTCATCGTCTACACAAACGGCAGTCGGTTCAAAGATATCGCGTTCTACCGTACAGCCAGTAGAGTAAACATGTCTTCACAAGGGAAGGTTCAAAGGGTATAGTGATCCCTACCTATCCTATGCAGGGATCGACCGTTGAACACAGTTTGTTTCCGATTTCAAAATACCCTGAAAATCAATTTTTCATTCATGTGGGGGATTGTTGGAAAAAATAGCTTAAAATGGCATAAAATGGCATATTAAGTGGCTATTTTGTGGTACAATTATCAATGGGGTCCACTTCCGATTTGGGTCGGGTCAAAGTGGATTCGGGTTCTTCATAGTGAGACGAAGAGATTGATATATTGTACGCTCAAAACGGATAATGGGTGAATGAGATATTGATTCTCAAAGTAGACTCATTTGAGTTGGAAAATGAAGGGAAAAGGTGAGCTTTTGTCCCACATTGGTTTGGGAAGAGAATTTGCCTCACTATTTATACATGAGCTCTTTTTAAGCTTATTAAATTGTATAGCATAGAGGCTCTCTCTCGCATGTAAGGGGGTGCAAAGGCTTGGATCAAGCCTAATCTCGTGTGCGCAATTTTCCTATTCAACTCAACCACGAAATGAAACTTGGTTTCACTTTCGTGTGCCACCATGAAATAAAATGAATGCAATTTTCCTATCCAACTCAACCACGAAATGAAACTTGGTTTCACTTTCGTGTGCCACCATGAAATAAAATGAATGAAACAATATGTTTCACTGTGAAATTGTTCAATATGTTTCACTGTGAAATTGTTCAATATGTTTCACTGTGAAATTGTTTCGTGTGGCACCTTGGCCAAACCGAAAGTAGTGGCCGAAAATACTACTTAGGTGTTGTTTCGTGTGGCACCTTGGCCAAACCGAAAGTAGTGGCCGAAAATACTACTTAGGTCGAAAGTTTGGCCTGAAACTCTTTTTGTGACTGTTGGGATTTAATTCAGCTGTTATGGAATTAATTTTTTAATTAATTCCAATTTTAATTTTTGAATTAACACCCATGTTAATGGTTGATGTTACAAGAGTTGAAGGGATGCCCCTAAATGCCATAATAAAGGCTATTCACTCCTCATTCCCTATATAAGAAGGGGTAGAGTGCAGCAGAATTTTTCTAAGGGAAAAAGTAACAAAAACACACAAGAAAAATAATTTTTCCAAGCCTCAAAATACCTCTGCTTCTACTCCATTCTTGAAGCTATGTTTTGCCCGTGCTCTCGTTCGCCGGGTTCGTTCGTTTGGGTGCTCAAACGTCGAACCGTTGTACGTTTTATCCTCGGAGACCTAGGCCACAACGCTCCTAGCACTTTTGGGAGGTGGCAAATAAGGTTTTAAGGAAAGAAAGGCACTCGCCTAACTCGTACATTTCTCTCTTCCTTCTTCTTCTTTCTTGTTTTGGATTATGCTTTTAAGCAAAAATCCGTTCTCCCTCTTTTGATATATTAGTTAGATTGAACTTATAATCCGAGGATTATTAGTTTCAATTTGGTTAATATATATTGGTATATCTTTTTCGTAGATATACATGTATATATAACCTTTGGATCCGTTTATATATATTTTTGTGTATATATATATATCGGGTAAATATCCAATAATATTTTATATACTTGTGTGTGTATATAAAAATATTATTTTTGGGTAATTAAATCGATTGTGGTTCATTATCACCAACATTAAAAACGCGACTTAATTAAATAGAGTTCTCAACTACTGACATGCCCTCGACACGGCCATATCGATGGACGTGTCAAAATCTACTGTGCTAGGCGACACAACCTTGTCACGGTGATGTGACTGATGTCCTTGACGTGGCGAAAATTAAACCTTTGAAAATAAAAAGTCGACTAATAAAAATTTTTACCTTAATTTATCATGAATCTCTAAAAATTAAAAATGCTAGCTGTGGGGTTCGAACCCACGCGCACTTATGTGCAGAAGATCTTAAGTCTTCCCCCTTAACCTCTCGGGCAAACTAGCCAATCCATCTATTTTTGTTATTTTAAATTTACTTTTTTTCCTTTGTCGCAATTGTTGAAATTTCACTTTTGATATTTATTGTTTTAAAGTTATTTATTTTCTTTTTATTCCAATTGCAACCGCAAATTATATCATAGATCATACCAAGGTCTACTTTGCATCGTAGACCTTGGTCTAAAACCACGTCATTAATGGTATCAACTAATACATTATGTTTAACAACATTTATTTTATACTATTTTTCATAATATTTGATCTATATGATACATCTATATTTTAATGCACATAAACGCTATATCGTATTTATTTATATCCACTCTGTAGTATGTATATAATATTTCTTCTATGTGCGTGTTTAAAATTTTAAAAAAAATAAAATCTTAATATCCATAAATATGACCTTATTTGTGGTAGCACAAATTTTAGTTTCCTATTTCAAAATGATATTACTTTTATTAAAATGTACATTTTATTAATAGTTGATCTATTATGTATGAGACAAAATTTCTCTCTACTTTAAAAATTTAAATACAAAAAATTTCATTATCTAATCAATCTTTTAGGGAAAGAGTTAATATTTTAAAATATCAATGAGAATTTACAAAATGAATAATTTACATATTATAACAATTGAGGTCTTAATCATATACACAAGGAAAACTTATAAATTTGTATGCTATAATTTCATTGCATCTCTTTAATTACTCTACAACAATATAAGTAAGTCTATTATAAGTTGGATACGGTAGACATGTGGGTGCAAATCCATGAGTTGCCTATGGGATACACATCTGAGTTGATACAGGAACAGATTGGGAATTATTTAGGGGTGTTTGTGAAAAGGGATGATCGCTTTCAGAATATGTCCTGGAGAACCTTTTATCGGATTAGGGTTTCACTATCGGTTGATAAACCATTGAAACGCCGAATGAAGTTTATTAAGCGAATGAAGTTTGTTACTTCTGCGGAATGCTTGGCCATTCTTACAAATTTTGTCGGGGTGCGAGGGATTCGGTGATGCCGGTGGAAGATTACTTGTATGGCTCGGACTTGCGGGCAGGAGGAAGTCGGGGACCGAGGCCGGTCGGTGGCAGCTGGTTACTACCGCTGCCGACGGCAGTGAAGGGGAGTGGCTCGGGAGAAGGAAAATCTGGGGCGGTGCAACGTGGGGTTGGGCTGGTTAGGGAAGCTGAGGTTGAGACCGGTGTGGTTGCTGTTGCTAAGCGCCGGCGGGAGGGGTTGGATGGTGAGGGTGTGCGGTATGAGGTGGAGGGAAGTGATGTTGTGATGGCTGATCATTCAAAAAACTTGCAGCAGGCGGGTACTGGTTCCCAGGCCCGCCCAACCCAATGAGTACTCTTAGTTGGAACTGCCGTGGCTTAGGCAATCCACGGACAGTTCGAGAAATTGTGGACATGGTGTCCAGTAAGAAGTCGGACTTTGTATTTCTGATAGAAACGATGGTGGGACAGGATCATGCAGAACGTCTTCGAATCAAAATTGGTTTTGAAGGGTTGTTCTATGTGGACAATGAGAGGAATGGGGGTGGCTTAGCGTTGCTCTGGAGGAAAAACAATACTGCTACCCTCCTAAGCTACTCTAAGAATCATGTGGATGTGGAGGTTCGATTGGCTGATGATAGAGTTTGGAGAATGACAGGTTTCTACGGCTTTCCAAAGCGGGAAGACAGGAGGGAATCGTGGGAGTTATTGGGGACGCTAAGTGGGAGATCCTCGCTTCCATGGGTTGTAATAGGGGATTTCAATGATCTCCTATATCAGCACGAGAAAAGGGGGGGGGGAACCCGCACCCAAATAGTCTCCTTCGCGGTTTCGGGGAGGCAGTTGATGGTTGTGGTTTGGCGCAGATGGCTATGAGAGGCTATCAATTTACCTGGGAAAAGAGCAAAGGCACGAACAATTGGATTGAGGAGAGGTTGGACAAGGTGTTGGCAACGGCATCTTGGGGGGATGTTAATCCCCATGCAGAGGTACATAATATCCTGACACGTAAATCAGATCACTCGGCCCTTTTTCTCAAAATTGTTGAATCATGCGGGCAGAGGAGAAGGGGTCACAGAGGATTCAGGTTTGAGATGGCCTGGTTGCTGGATGAGGGATGCAGGGAGGTGGTTGAGACAGCCTGGCATGACCGGCGGACTGAGGGTTTGCTGAATTGTCAGCAATATTGTGGGCACAGTCTGATGCGGTGGGGAGGGGACCACTTCCATAAGTTTGGGGACCGAATAAAGCGGATCCGCGCGAAACAGGAGGCCATTAGACATAGGCGTGATCCGGATGCCCTGACCGAATTTCAGAGTCTGGAAATTCAGTTAACCCAGCTGGAAGCTCAGGAGGACACCTTCTGGAGACAGAGGGCGAAACAACATTGGCTGCGTGGTGCTAATGTAAACACAAAGTTTTACCACAGGTATGCCTCTGCCCGGAAAAAGAAGAATTTAATTGCTAAATTAAAGAATGATGATGGGGATTGGGTGGAGGGAGAGAATATGAATGTGCTTATTATGAGGTACTTTGAGGGGATTTTTGCTACAAATAATGTTACATGCAGTGATCCTTTGTTTAATGATTTTGCCCCACGTGTCACCCCGGCACAAAACATGGCCCTTTTGCGCCCCTTTGATATTGATGAGGTTAGAACTGCAGTATTTTCTATGTTCCCGGATAAAGCCCCAGGGCCAGATGGTATGAACCCAGGTTTCTACCAACATTTTTGGGATGTGGTGGGAGTGGATGTATCTGGATTTATTGTTAACACCCTCAACTCGCGAATCCTGCCGAATGGATTGAATGATACGAATATAGTACTGATCCCTAAGAAAAATGTGCCTGAAACGGTTGGGGACATGCGGCCAATTGCTCTCAGTAATGTACTGTACAGGATTATGGCTAAGATGATAACCAATAGAATGAAACCACTTATGGAAAATCTAATATCAGATTCCCAGAGTGCTTTCATTTCAGGGAGGTTGATCACAGATAATATCCTGGTGGCTTCGGAGGTTGGCCACTTTCTAAATCGGAAGCAATGTGGTAATGTGGGATGGGGAGCTCTAAAGTTAGATATGGCAAAGGCATATGATAGAATGGAGTGGCCTTTTCTGAAGAAGATGTTACAGGTAATGGGATTTGATAAGGGGTGGATTGATTTGATTATGACATGTGTGACGACTGTGACATATCAGGTTGTGGTAAATGGTGTGCCTGGAGGAAAAATAATCCCAACACGAGGTCTCAGGCAAGGCGACCCCCTTTCACCTTATTTGTTCATTATATGTGCAGAAGGATTATCTTTATTATTACAAAAAGCTGAGCTGGCAGGTTCAATTCATGGATGTAGAGTGGCTAGAGGGGCACCCCCAGTGTCACATTTCTTCTTTGCAGATGACAGCTTATTGTTTTTCAAGGCAAACTTACAGGAGGCTAGTGTGATAAAACAATGTCTGCTGAGGTATGAGAATTTATCTGGTCAGATGGTTAATTATCATAAATCAAATATTTGTTTTAGCAAGAATACCTCAAGGGAGGATAGGGATCTCGTGGCTAATTGTTTAGGCGTGGATCAGGCACCAAACTTTGGGAAATATTTAGGGCTTCCGTCATTCATTGGGAGAAATAAAAGGGCAGTCTTCTCTTATGTGGAGGATAAAATCAAACAGAGAATTGGATCATGGAATAAGAAGCTGTTGTCACAAGCAGGAAAAGAGGTACTTTTGAAAAGTGTGGCTCAATCTATGCCTACCTTCTTAATGAGTATTTTCTTATTGCCTGATACAGTCTGTTTATCTATTGAGAGGACAATGAACAGATACTGGTGGGGAAAAGGGGTGGACAGAGGGATCCATTGGAAGGCCTGGGATAAATTGTGTGTTCCTAAGAGATATGGGGGTTTGGGATTTAAAGATCTTCGTTCTTTTAACCTGGCTATGTTAGGGAAGCAGGCATGGAGATTTCTTACTAATCCAACCTCTCTTGCAGCAAGAATATATAAAGCCCGTTACTACCCGACGACTTCCTTTATTGATGCAAAGATATGGAATTGTCCCAATTATTGTTGGCGGAGTATAATGGCTGCCCATGAAATAGTTTGCTCTGGAGTCAGGAGAAGGATTGGAAATGGGGGAAAAACTCTGATCTGGGGACATCCCTGGTTGCCTGATGATCCAAGTCCTTTAATACAAACAGTAATGCCTGAGGAACTGCGTGAGGCGAGGGTTGTAGGTTTGATTGACCAGCAAACGAAAACATGGGATCCTCATATTTTATGCGATTTGTTTGAACCTGACGATGTGGCTCGTATATCTAGGATCCCTGTGAGTCCGGAGTATGAGGACTCGTGGTATTGGTATAAAGATCCAAGGGGTGAATATTCTGTTAAAAATGCATATAGGCAGATTGTTGGAGATTTTGTAAATAATTCTGGTGCCTTTGATAAGTGGATCACATTGTGGAAGTTGAAAGTCCCACCCAAATGGAAAACCTTTTTGTGGAGAGCCTTATGTGATATCCTCCCAACCACAAACAACCTGATTATAAAGAGAGTATAAATTGATCCTACATGCCCAATGTGTGATACATCCCATGAGAATGTTATGCATACATTAACTTCTTGTGATTATTCTAGAATTGTTTGGAATATTTCGGGTTTGCCTGTTACAAATATTATTGCTGCTACTTTTCCAGAATGGATAATGGGTGCTATGGCTAACTTAACGGAGGAGCAATTTGCCACACTGGTAGGAGTTCTATATCATTTATGGAATGCCCGGAACGAAGCTGTATGGAAGAGGGCATTACCACGACCTCCCACTACATGGAGGCGTGCTGCCACGGCAAGACTGGCGTATATCCAAGCCCACTGCCCGGGCAGTGTTCACGCAGCGCAGCCACCTGCACCGGCGCTCCAGGGACGTCCGCGCTGCTTCTTCGACGGAGGTTTTCGACCGCAGTCGGGCGACGCGGCTTACAGCGTTGTATTACTACACCCGGATGGTTCGTTCAAGGCGGCAACAAATGGCAAGCTCACGAGATGTTTTTCACCTCTTATGGCGGAGGCCCTAGCATGCAAAGAAGCGTTATCATGGCTTAAGGAGCGGAACGAACTCGATGTGGATATGCTGACTGATTGCACACAACTACGACATCACTTACGATCTAGTCCTACGACCATCCTATCTTATGAAGGGGTGGTGGAGGATCAATGTCGGGCAACTATGGCCCTTTTTACGTATTGCTCTTTAAATATTGTCTCGTACAATATATCAATCTCTTCGTCTCACTACGAAGAGCCGAATCCACTTTGACCCGACCCAAATCGGGGGTGGATCCCACTGATAATTGTACCACAAAATAGCCACTTAAAATGCCTTTTTAATGCTATTTTTTCAACATTGATCAGGAACACTCTATGTATTGGGACTATGTCCCTCCTGACTGCTTGATTCCTTTCATTAATTAAAATATGCAAATATACTTGGCTTTCAAAAAAAGTCTATTATAATCATGTCACTTTAAATAAAATAAATTAAGTTTTACTAACTTATCGAAATAGCATTAAGAAGACTTAATTTATTTTACTATGAAAATTGTTAGGACATAATTTTTATTCTGGATTTTAACTATCTACAACAATACTCTTGTTTCCTACTACTTTTATCGAAATATATATATATATATATATATATATATATATATATATATATATATATATATATATATATATATATATATATATATATATATATATATGCACGAATATATATACTAGTTAAGACACAAGGGCTGCGAGTACTAGCACCAATTAAGAACAAGGTCTCATACTACGGTTGATCATAAATTCAAGAACCACATGTTTAGCCTCTGAACATTGAGGCAAAAATGAAATAAATGATAAACGAATTGAAGAACATAGGAAAACACATTTAATCTACGAAGAAATCTTGACTCCAAGCCTTCCCAAAATATAAAGATGTCTTCTAGAGAGTGGTTGAAACTATCAAAAATGTCTTGGATCATTTTCTTGAAATCTGTGGTCGATCGGAAAGCCCGTAAAAGGATTAAAAATGCGACTTAATTAAATAGAGTTCTCAACTACTGGCATGCCCTCGACATGACCATATCGATGGACGTTTCAAAATCTACTGTGCTAGGCGACACAACCTTGTCACGGTGATATGACTGATGTCCTTGACGTGGCGAAAATTAAACCTTTGAAAATAAAAAGTTGACTAATAAAAAATTTTACCGTAATTTATCCCGAATCTCTAAAAAAGAATGCTAGCTATGGGGTTCGAACTCGATCTTAAGTCTTCCCCCTTAACCTCTCGGGCAAACTAGCCAATCCATCTATTTTTGTTATTTTAAATTTACATTTTTTCCTTTGTCGCAATTGTTGAAATTTCACTTTTCATATTTATTGTTTTAAAGTTATTTATTTTCTTTTTATTTCAATTGCAACCGCAAATTATATCATAGATCATACCAAGGTCTACTTTGCATCGTAGACCTTGGTCTAAAACCACGTCATTAATGGTATCAACTAATACATTATGTTTAATAACATTTATTTTATACTATTTTTCTTAATATTTGATCTATATGATACATCTAAATTTTAATGCACATAAACACTATATCATATTTATTTATATCCACTCTGTAGTATGTATATAATATTTCTTCTATGTGCGTGTTTAAAATTTAAAAAAAATAAAATCTTAATATCCATAAATATGACCTTATTTGTGGTAGCACAAATTTTAGTTTCCTATTTCAAAACGATATTACTTTTATTAAAATGTACATTTTATTAATAGTTGATCTATTATGTATGAGACAAAATTTCACTCTACTTTAAAAATTTAAATACAAAAATTTCTTTATCTAATCAATCTTTTAGGGAAAGAGTTAATATTTTAAAATATCAATGAGAATTTACAAGATGAATAATTTACATATTATAACAATTGAGGTCTTAATCATATACACAAGGAAATCTTATAAATTTGTATGCTATAATTTCATTGCATCTCTTTAATTACTCTACCACAATATAAGTAAGTCTATTATAATCATGTCACTTTAAATAAAATAAATCAAGTTTTACTAACTTATCGAAATTGCATTAAGAAGACTTAATTTATTTTAATATGAAAATTGTTAGGACATAATTTTTATTCTGGATTATAACTATCTACAACAATACTCTTGTTTACTACTACTTTTATTGAAATATATATATATATATATATATATATATATATATATATATATATATATATATATATATATATATATAGGCACGAATATATATACTAGTTAAGACACAAGGGCTGCGAGTACTAGCACCAATTAAGAACAAGGTCTCATACTACGGTTGATCATAAATTCAAGAACCACATATTTAGCCTCTGAACATTGAGGTAAAAATGAAATAAACGATAAACGAATTGAAGAACATAGAAAAACACATTTAATCTACGAAGAAGTCTTGACTCCAAGCCTTCCCAAAATATAAAGATGTCTTCTAGAGAGTGGTTGAAACTATCAAAAATGTCTTGGATCATTTTCTTGAAATCTGTGGTCGATCGGAAAACCCGTAAAAGGATTAAAAACACGACTTAATTAAATAGAGTTCTCAACTACTGGCATGCCCTCGACACGGCCATATCGATGGACGTGTCAAAATCTACTGTGCTAGGCGACACAACCTTGTCACGGTGATATGACTGATGTCCTTGACGTGGCGAAAATTAAACCTTTGAAAATAAAAAGTCGACTAATAAAAAATTTTACCTTAATTTATCTCGAATCTCTAAAAATTAAAAATGCTAGCTGTGGGGTTCAAACCCACGCGCACTTATGTGCAGAAGATCTTAAGTCTTCCCCCTTAACCTCTCGGGCAAACTAGCCAATCCATTTGTTTTTGTTATTTTAAATTTACTTTTTTTCCTTTGTCGCAATTGTTGAAATTTCACTTTTCATATTTATTGTTTTAAAGTTATTTATTTTCCTTTTATTCCAATTGCAGCCGCAAATTATATCATAGATCATACCAAGGTCTACTTTACATCGTAGACCTTGGTCTAAAACCATGTCATTAATGGTATCAGCTAATACATTATGTTTAATAACATTTATTTTATACTATTTTTCATAATATTTGATCTATATGATACATCTAAATTTTAATGCACATAAACACTATATCATATTTATTTATATCCACTCTGTAGTATGAATATAATATTTCTTCTATGTGCGTGTTTAAAATTTAAAAAAATAAATAAACAAATAAATCATAAAAACTTAATATTCATAAATATGACCTTATTTATTGTAGTACAAATTTTAGTTTCCTATTTCAAAACGATATTACTTTTATTAAAATGTACATTTTATTAATAGTTGATCTACTATGTATGAGACAAAATTTCTCTCTACTTTAAAAATTTAAATACAAAAATTTCATTATCTAATCAATCTTTTAGGGAAAGGGTTAATATTTTAAAATATCAATGAGAATTGGCAAGATGAATAATTTACATATAATAACAATTGAGGTCTTAATCATATACACAAAGAAAACTTGTAAATTTGTATGCTATAATTTCATTGCATCTCTTTAATTACTCTACAAAAATATAAGTAAGTCTATTATAATCATGTCACTTTAAATAAAATAAATTAAGTTTTACTAACTTATCGAAATCGCATTAAGAAGACTTAATTTATTTTAATATGAAACTTGTTAGCACATAACTTTTATTCTGGATTATAACTATCTACAACAATACTCTTGTTTACTACTACTTTTATTGCAATTTGAAAATACTCATTTTGATTATATTGAAAATAATCATTTATATTTTATATTAATTAATTTTTATATTTAAAAAGAGAAAATTTCAATTTTGGTCCACTGACTATTAAAGGTGAGTTAATTGCAGCACTTGACTATCAAAAATGTTAATTTAGTACCTTGAGTATGCGATTTCTATCAATTTTGGTCACGCCGGCCAAATTACCGGTGATTTGTGACCGGAAAAACACAAGTCAATAATTGGACCGATTTGGAAGGGGCAAAATAGTATTTTTCATCTTGTTTCTACGATTTGTCGACCAAATTAGGAGCATACCCGACCCGCATATAACTAATTTGCCCTACATATATTGTCGCTGGTTGTTGTTCCTTCCCAGACGAATCGAAGCAAATTAGGAGGAAGAGGAAGACGGAGATTACAATAACGTAGACGAAGGTTTCAAAGTCGCGATTCTTCTTACGTGGGTATGAGTAGTGTATATTCTTCTTCTTCCAATACTAGTAATGAGTACTATGAATTTGGGGAAAGGTTCTCAATTCTCCATTGTAGATGTGGTCACCAACTAAAGATTCGAACTTCATGGACTAATGAGAATCTAGGTCGAAGATTTTGGCAGTGCTCCGGTGGTAGTGTAAGGAAAAAAAAAATTCAGTGTTCCAGTTTGAAAAGAAATTGATTTGGTTTTTGTTTGGTTTCTGAATTTTGTTTAAATCAGAGTCAAAGGCAGGATGGGTGTGGATTTGTGGAATTGTATGATCCTCCAATGTGTTACCGTTCGAAGCGAATAATTCCGGGATTGCTTAAACGCATTAATAGACTAGAGGAAGATATAAGAACACTGAATATGAAGATTGAATGTGATAAGAAGGAGGCTGGAAATGTGTTGAAGAAGATTGTAGGAATAATGATTTTAATTTTTGTAGGCTATATTGGTAGTTAGTATTGTGGCAGTGATCTTTGAATTGTGTAGTTGTATGAAATGACATTTGAATTGTGTAATGTATGAAATGGCCTTTGAATTCTAATGTATGAAGTTATCCATTTGGTAATGAATTGCTCATTTGAGTGAAGTCATGAATTGGTAATGAATTGCTCATTTGCAAACTGTCATTTGGTAATGAATTGCAAACTGTCATTTGGTAATGAATTGCAAACTGTCAAAACAGGTAATGAATTGCAAACTGTCAAGTAATGAAATTTTTCAAAGTCATCATCTTCCTTCATTGATCCTGTGAATTCAAACTGTGAATAGAAACTGACCAATACAACTTAGCATTTGCATTTGCAATTCTAGTGTCAATACAGTTTGAAAAGCCAAAAACCAATAAAACTTAGCATTTGCATTTCAAAAGCCAAAAACCAATACATTTGCAATTCTCCATTACAGTTTCAAAAACCAAAAATCATAGTCTAAACTTAATTCACTCAATGTTGATAGCATCATTGTTTCCATGAAATTTGGACTTGAAGGTGGTCTTGCTCCTTGTATAGTAGGGCTTCTTACGATTCGATTGCCTTGTCTTTGTGGCCTTGCTGTTGCCTCCTTGATCAGTAGACTCATCCTACTTAATAGGAACTGGATGACTAGCTTCTTCCTGCTGCTGCCTAGAAACTGGATCACTTGCCTCCTGCTGATTTTGCTGGTTAGGAACATGATCAGTAGCTTCCTCCGGCTGATGATGCTGCCTAGGAACATTTGTAGTAATGTTGATGGGGATTTGTTTGGTGGAATAAATTACATTTTTCTTTGGCTTCAAGTAAAACAATAAAATTGTGTTAGTGGGGATTTAAAAACAACAGTATAAATTAATGGAGTAACTATAAAATCATAGAGTATAATACCTTTTGTTTTGGGTTTGGATTTGAAGGACACTTTCTTGAATTATGGCCAGTTTTCTTGCAAATAGTGCAATGCAATAGGATATGCTTTCTAGACACTTTAAACCCATCTTCACTAAACTTTGGCTGCACATCTCCACCAGATCTCAGACTAAGCTTTTTTGGCCTTCCAACCTTGGCAGAATAGATAGGTGGCAGTGGGGGATCTCTGGTACTCAGTGACCATTCATTAGGCCCTGCCATGGGGTTAATGGAGCAACTATATATCTTCATATATGTTTCCTTGGAATAACAAGGATGGACATAATCATAGTGTGCTCCTTGCCCATATTTCTTCCAAATTGAACAGATTGCATGCTTGCAAGGAATCCCGGACAAATCCCAATTCCTACATGAACAAGTTTTCCTTTCCAGACCCACCTGATGTTGGCCCCCCATATAACTGTTGCACCTCAAATTTGAAAAAGTCACATTGAGTGGACAAACAACCTGCTTCCTGCTTCTCTATTTTCTTCAATTTTCCAACAATTGATGGACATATCATTGACTTCCATCCAGCTGCTTTTTGTCTTTGCTAAAAAAACTTACTCATTAGCATTTTCCTTATAGTCTCTAGGCAGTCTAGGATTGGTTGATCCCTAGCACCAAGTAATGCTGCATTGAATGACTCACATATGTTGTTTACCAACATATCACAGTGAGTGTGTGTTGAGAAGTGAGACCTACTCCACTCTGTTGGAGACTTGTCACCCAACCATTGATAAGCTTCCTCATCTAAGGCCCTAAGGTTGTGTAGTGCACTAGTATAAGAATTCAGAGTTGTTACCCTAGCACATTCCCAAAGAGCATCCTTCAATGCCTTCCCTTGAAACCCTACCACTTTCATGTTTGAGTGGAGGTGCCTCACACAAAACCTGTGCTCCACACCAGGTATGATTCTTCAAATGCTAGGATCAAACCTTTCTGCTTATCACTTCTAAAAGCATAGTCATGTTCTCTATCTTTTGTTATCTCCAAGTCTTCAGCAAGGAATTGTAAAAACCAAGACCAAGACTCCCTCTTTTCCCCTTCAACAATAGCATAGGCAAGTGGGAAAAGACTGTCATTAGCATCAACACTCGCTGCAGTCAAAAGCATCCCACCTGATCCACTTCTCAAGTGACATCCATCCATACCTATTAGGGGTCTACAATGTCTGAATCCTTGTTTGGAAGCATCCCAGCAAATGTACATTCTTAAAAATCTTTCCTGCCCAGTTTCCCCATCTTGCAAGTCACTGAGCTTCACAAAATACCTAGTCCTAGGGTTTGTCCTATCCATTTCAGCATAGTAGCTCCATATCTTCTTGAAGTTGTCTTCAGCATCACCAATTCTTTGTTTCTTGGCCTTCCACATAGCCCTGTAGGCTTGTTGATCACTTAAATAGAACCCCTCTTCACTAGTAACTGTATCCGTGAATTTTTTCATCATCCATTTTGGGTTGTTATTTAATTGTTTGGCCAACCTATTTGCAACCACACCAACTTTTACCATTGAATTCTCATAAACCCAAGAACAACCTTCATGCACATCAACCATGTTTAAAATCCTCCAAACATGTGAGTGAAGCACTTTCCTCAGTCCTATTCTCCAAGGACACCCATCCTGTGAACACTCAACTATAACCCTCAAAGCATCATTCTTAATAGTTCTGATATCTTTCTCATTTTTGAAACCATAATTCTGCACTGCTTCTCTAAATTGTTTCTTAGAGGCAAAGGTCATGCCTAATGTAAACTCTGGATCATTCATGTCAGTAGCTTCTCTAAAAACAGGCCATTTACTTTCCCCATCACTATCAGAATCAACTACAGAAGCATCATTAGAAAAATTTATCTCATCCCAATCATATGAGACTATTTCACATTGTTCTTTCTGTTTTTTGGTTAACTCTAGATCAGTCATGTTTAACTCTAGATCAGTCATGTTTAACTCTAGATCATTCATGTTTAACTCTATATCATTCATAGTTAACTCTGCCTTGAATTCACTTTTAACCACAACTTTTTGAAGTTTATTCCCAACACCACCCTTGTCATCATTATTCAAACACTCAACATCAACCTCCAACTCACTTTCCCATTCACCCTCACACTCAAGTTCATTAACTTCAGCTTGAATAAAATCATTTTCATCCATAGTTTCTATCAAAATCTCCAACATTTTACCTTCATCCTCTGCTTCTCTAAGACAGTTTGCAACATCTATATCATTTTGTAGCAACTTACACATACCATGTCCACCATGATAAATGTATGCTCCTATTGAAGAATACCCTAGATCTTCAATCTTATCCTTAAAGAATTGTAGACACAGATCCTTAGCTTGCACCTTGTCATATATTTCTACATCACCCCCCCTCTCCATGTATTTAATTTCACCTTGCCAATTAATTACACCATTATGGAAGATAAACACATGAAAATGGCCAAGATCATCTCTTGTAAAGTAGCCACATAATAAAATAACAATATAAATGAAATATAAGTACTCCTAACTCCAATATATGCACAAAACACATCAACCAAAATATAGACATAGTGGTCCCACATAGCTCAGCCTATACACAGAACACAACAAAGGCATAAAGAAACTGGTCCCCACAAAGAATAATATATCAACAGAAACATACAAACAAGATTCCACAACACCCACTGAGCACTCAAATGAACACTCAACTTTAAGCTAAAATTGGTCCCCACATGTAAGTTTCTGAGCATATTTAAAGCACACTAACACTCACTGAACACTCAACTTTAAGCTCAAATTGGTCCCCACATGTAAGTTTCTGAGCATATTTAAAGCACACTAACACCCACCGCCAATTTCACACAAATTAAGTAAAGTAATCTCAAAGTCTTACCACTGACAGCCATTCGATTGCCTTGTCTGCAGCGCGAGTAAATGGAGACTGTTCACTTCACTGGAGCGCGAGTAAATGGAGCTTTCTTCCTTCGTCGATGGAGTCTGATTCTCTTCACTGGAGCTTTCTCTTCATTGGAGCTTACTTCCTTCGTCGAATGAATTAGGTTTCACAGGTGGGTTAGTGGAGTCAATTAGAATTAGGCGGGTAGAATTACATTTAGGCGGGTCGGGTAAAAATTTGGTCAACAATCCGTTTTCCCAAATCGTAGAAACAAGATGAAAATACTATTTTGCCCCTTCCAAATCGGTCCATTTGTTGACTTGCGTTTTTCCGGTCACAAATCGCCGATAATTTGGCTGGCGTGACCAAAATTGATAAAAATCGCATAGTCAAGGTACTAAATTAACATTTTTGATAGTCAAGTGCTGCAATTAACACACCTCTAATAGTCAGTGGACCAAAATTGAAATTTTCTCTATTTAAAAATTATACTAGTATTTATTTATTTTAATTTTCATATTCGGTATTAATTAATCACACAATGTGCACATTATAACTAGTATATATATATATATAGGTGCGAATAATAATGTGAATACATAATTTTTAAATCATCATTGAAATTTGTGAAAATATAAAAATATTATGTAAAAAGTAAGTATGATTTTCAATTGCTCAATATAATCTTAATTCTATATATTTTGATGGGCTCAATTTAAAAGTTTTTAAAAAGATATTCACATAGGTGATAGGTGATAAAAATAAAATATTAATTAATAGTGCCAATTGATCTTACTGAAAATAACACACTCCGTCCGGATCAAACAAATTTCCAATTCAAGCTAATTAAGCTACATTTTTTTACCATGATTTCTACTTTGATTTGAATAAGTCAAGCCATATCTACCTAACAGAAAGTTAAGGGTGCGATCGAAAAAAGGGGAATGAGATCTAACAGTGAAAATTAAAAGATTAGATCAGAAAAGCTAAGGCACAAAAAAAGGGCAGAGGAAGTTATGGACGAGTGGTGGAAACGAAAGGAATTTATGGTATAAAAGGAGCACGGAGTATGAGTGAAACGAAGAAACATACAAAAAAAAAAAAACAAAAAAAAAAAAAAAACAATACAAATAAACACTTCAATAAAAAAATAAATAGTGTAATGGAAGGAGCTCTCACGAACAAAATGGGTATGGTGTTCTTGCTTTGGCTCTTTGCCATGGCGTTTGTTGTGCAGGCGGAGGATCCCTACCTGTTCCACGAATGGAAGGTGACGTACGGCAAACTGTCCCCGCTTGGTGTGGCCAAAGATGTGATTCTCATCAATGGTAAATTTCCAGGCCCCACGATCAACGGCACATCCAACAACAACGTTGTTGTGAATGTGTTTAATGAATTGGATGAACCATTGCTATTCCACTGGAATGGTATTCAACAAAGGAAGAACTCCTGGCAAGACGGCATGCCGGGAACCACGTGTCCCATCCTGCCCGGTACCAACTATACATATCATTTCCAGGTGAAGGATCAGATCGGCACCCATTTTTACTTCCCTTCCACCAGCCTCCACCGCTCCGCGGGTGGATACGGCGCCCTCACCGTCCACAGCCGTGAACTCATCCCCGTCCCCTTCGACTGGCCCGCTGACGAGTTCTATATCTTCCTCAGCGACTGGTACAATAAGGGCCACAGGGATCTGAAGAAAACCCTCGACGACGGCCACACCATCGCCAGGCCTAACGGGCTGGTGATCAACGCCAAGCACGGCGAGGTTGGGGACAAGATGGAGCCACTTGCAACCTTAGAGGCTGGGAAGACATACAGGTTTAGAGTTTGTAATGTGGGGATGAGGACCTCCATGAATTTCAGGTTCCAAGGTCACAGCATGGTTCTAGTGGAAGTGGAGGGGTCTCACGTTGTACAGAACGATTACGACTCCCTTGATCTCCACACCGGACAGTGCCTCTCGGTTTTGGTCACCGCCGATCAAGACCCAAAGGATTACTACTTGGTGGCCACCAGCAGATTCTTAAAGAACCAGCTCTCCACCGTGGGTCTCATCAAATACGCCAACGGGAAAGGCGCCGCCGCAGCCGAATTGCCCCCACCTCCACCCGATGGCACCGAAGGTATCGCCTGGTCTATTAACCAGTTCCGATCTTTCAGATGGAATTTAACCGCCAGCGCCGCCCGCCCCAACCCCCAGGGCTCCTACCACTACGGCGAAATCGAAATCACCCGCACCTTGAAACTCGTCAACACGAAGAGCGAGGAGGGAGGCAAGCTCCGATACGCAATCAACGGCGTCTCCCACACCGACCCCGACACCCCTCTCAAGCTCATCGAGTACTTCGAATTGAAAGACAACAAGGAGGCGTCGTTTAAGTACGACCTGATGCCGGACCAGCCCACCGGCGACACCAGCAAGGTGATCCTCGCCCCCAACGTGAAGAACGCCACCTTCCGCAACTTCGTGGAGATCATCTTCGAGAACCACGAGAAAGTCATCCAGTCATACCACATCAACGGCTACTCGTTCTTCGCAGTGGGCATTGAGCCAGGGAAATGGAGCCCTGAGAAGAGAAAGAACTACAACTTGGTGGACGCCATTAACAGACACAACATCCAGGTCTACCCCAACTGCTGGGCCGCCGTGATGACCACCCTGGATAACGCGGGAATGTGGAATGTGAGGTCAGAAATGTGGGAGAGATTCTACTTGGGACAACAATTCTACTTCAGTGTCCTCTCCCCAGAACGCTCATTGAGAGATGAGTACAACATTCCTGATAATCAGCTGCTGTGCGGTGCAGTCAAGGGGAAGCCCCTGCCAAAGCCATACACCATCTAAAACACTATTCTCATCTACAAACATATATAAATTTATTCTCAATTTCATTTACTTCTTTAAGTTTAAACAAATAATGATACATACTGTATTGTATCATGTATCCTACAGTACCCAGCTATTGCTCCTTGTTTTCACCGTCTTTCCTTCAATTCTTTATATTTGAATAAGAAAAAATTATGTTATTCATTTTTAGAGTATCTGATGCTTTAATTTCTTGTGCTTTCTTTTTAATTTTTCCGATCCTTTTGTTATTACAATAAATTAATGCAAAGAAACTGTACTAAATATATGATATAAATCTCATCCCTTCTAATAATTCTTTGAATTATATTGCTTGTTTAGCAGCTAGCTATATAGTTTAATTTGTTCTTAATATGAGATTTTAAAAATAATCTTCCCATCCTAATAGTTGAAAGATTAATATTATCTTAATTATAATAAAGTCATATGGTCTTGTGAAAATTAAATGTACACCACACGTACAATCCCCCATAAGTTTGAAATTAATATATAGCATAGCTAGGTGGCCTAATATTTAAGATTGTTGATGTGCATATCGAGGACTACGGAGACAACGATGCGTTATTCGTGGATTCATCGGATACTATCCAACAACACGAATTATTAGTTCTCATCTTTTATTGATTACACACTTAATTCGATAGTATTTGGAAGAAAAAATCAATGTTCGAACTAAGATTGTGATTGGTTGGTTGGTCTTTAAAGGTCAATTGTATGTTGCTACATCAAGAGTTAGAAATCTCAAAGGTCTAAAAATTTTGATTGTGACTCTAAAATTGTAATTCAATTACTATTGTAATTTATTAAGTTCTTAAAAATATGTAATATTAAATACTATGTACTAAATTTTTAATATAGTTTAAAATTTGTAGTAATCACCCACCTTAAATATTATTTTAATTGTAAATATATTTATGTTCATAATTTTATCATAGGAATTCACACATAATTATTATTAAATAACAAAAATTATATATATGAATAAACCTCATATAGAGGGTATATTTTTATAACATATTTTTCTTGCATGGCACGGGACAAATACTAGTTTGTTAAATATTACCAAATGTTGAATGTCAATTGTAGTTCTATTTTTGTATTGGTTTTTTTTGTACTCGGGAATCTTGGGGCCTCTATTAGAATTTAAGCAAATTGGGAAGTTGAAAATCATATGCAAATTTTTTTTAATGCATAGTTAACAACCTACCATGTATTCAATTCGCATTTATCATATTATGGTTATTACTATTTATCAAGTTCAGTAAATATAATACAATCAGTTCTCATCTGGTATCAGCGTTTTTCCTTTGTCTATCGTCCCTATGGCTGACGGATCTATTGATTCCTCCGAACGGACCGTGTCTGATGCTGCTATGTTGTAAAGTTCTTCGTCAATTGTGTCGCTATCCACCGCACATCACTTCATCAGTACCAGTTAACCTACAAGAATTATTTGTTCTGGCGTACGCAAGTCGTCCCGTTTCTTCACGGGCATGACCTAATGGGGTTTGTTGATGGTACAAAACCCTCACCGGCCGTTCTTCTTGCTGCCGATGCCGACAATGCCGACGCCATGCCACGGCTAAACCCCGCCTATGCCGTTTGGATGCGTCAAGATCAAGCATTGTTGTCTATGCTTGTCTCCTCCCTCTCCGACGAAGTCATGCCAATAGCCGTTGGACGTCGCACGAGTCGTGCCCTTTGGGAGGCCATTGTCCAGACGTTGTCGTCTTCCTCCCGTGGCCGCGCGTTAAATCTTCTCAGCCAGTTGTAGGGACTAGACCAGGGTGATTCGTCGGTTGCGGATTACCGTGGGCGAGCTCGGGTGATTGTTGAAGAGCTCACCCTCGCCGGCCGCGTCGTCTCCCTCGACGACCAGAATCTTTTTGTTTTTCACGGCTTGAGACCGGAATTCCGTGCCCTCGCCGTCCGTGGGCAGCCGGTCAGCTCTAGGAGTTGGCGGACTTCCTCGGCGCCCAGGAATTTATCTCCAATCGTGATTACGGCGGTGCTCCGGCGGCCCTTGCTGTTCAGCGCGGTGGTGTCCGATCGAGTCGCGGAGGTCAGAACCGTGGCGGCGGTCAGCGAGCAGGGGGTGGCAACGGCAGTTCGAATCGTGGTGGTGGTGGCAGACAGCAAGGTGGCCGCGGTCACGGACACAACGGTGGTGGCAATCAGGAATATTGCTTGTTTAGCAGCTAGCTACTAGATAGTTTAATTTGTTGTTAATATGAGATTTTAAAAATATTCCTATCCTAATACTTGAAAGATTAATATTAATTATTTGTTAAATATAACCAAATGTTGACTGTAAATATTTTAGTTTTATTTTTGTATTGGTTTTTTTTTTTTTTTTTTTTTTGTACTCATGAATCTTGGGGCCCCTCTATTAGAATTTAAGCAAATAGGGAAGTTGAAAATCATATGCAAATTTTTTTAGGTCATGTTTGGTAAATGTGCTGTTAGAGGGTATAACTGTTAATAACATTAGCTGATTGTAAAAAGATTTTGATAAATTAAATTAAGTCAAAGAGCTAATAATGATTAAATAAGTCAAAATTAATCTATAGATTAATGTACCGTGCTAGGTGACACAACCTTGTTACGGTGATGTCCTTGACGTGGTCACAAATTTTCACCTTAATTTACCCCGAATCTCTAAAAACTCTAATCATAAAAATTATGCTAGCTATGGGGTTCGAACCCATGCGCACTTATGTGCAGAAGATCTTAAGTCTTCCCCCTTAACCTCTCGGGCAAACTAGCCAATCCATCACTTCTTGTTATTTTAAATTTACTTTTTTCCTTTGTCGCAATTGTTGAAATTTCACTTTTCATATTTATTGTTTTAAAAGTTATTTATTTTCCTTTTATTCCAATTGCAGCCGCAAATTATATCATAGACCAAGACCTACTTTGCATCGTAGACCGTGATCTAAAACGACATCGTTAATGGTATCAACTTGTTAGAGATATTAGGACTTGAGTAGCTGGATATAGTTGATCGATACAATAGGGAGATACCAGATGAGAGAAACATATATTGTGTATTACACTAACTATAGGATAATACAAGTATATGATATATACACCTACACAATAGGAAACTAGTTGAGGCCTAACCATCTACAGCCACTCTAGTCCTAATATCTCTAACACAACTAATACATTATGTTTGATAACATTTATTTTATACTATTTTTAATAATATTTGATCTATTGTCAGTAAACCTTACTTATATTGTTGAAGAGTAATTAAAGAGTTATGCAATAAATTTAACAGGGTAGCTCAAGTGACAAATGAGCTCTCTTTGTGGGAGAGAATTCCGGAATAACCCGGGTTCAATTCCTACAAGTGATGATCTCCTTTGGGCCAGCTCTTGTGCCTCTCGGAGCGAACTGGGTGGACTTGGACCACAATGTGTGGTTGACACCAAAAAAAAAAAAAAAAAGAGTTATGCAATAAAAATAATTAAAAAAAAAAAAAAAAAACTTTATTATGAACCACTCTTGAGGCCTATACAGCTTATTGGAAGGAGTTGGAGCATGACGGAAGACTGAAAACAGGAATTTGAATAACTGGAAAAATATTCATTCCTCTTAAAATGTTAATCTGACTAAAACCTGAACAAATTTTTGTGAACTTTAGTGACAACCCGGCAGGTCAAAGAGAGTCTGGCGCTAGTCCGGTGAATAACACTATCATCGACGCCTCCCTTTCCATCAACTACTTGCCCCGAGTCTGATAAGGGACCAACCAAACCGCCATCTTTCACATTCACAGCCTGGAGTAGACAAAGGAAACAATAAATTGCTGAAATTAAAGATCCCAGCAGTTTAGTTTGATCAAAATTGAAGCAACTGGCCTTTTTTTTGGTGGTGGTGGTTTGGGGGGTTGGGGCGGGCGGGGGGGGGGGGGGGGGTGTGTAAATGCATTTCACATTCAGCTTTACAAATCATCTTACCCTGTCACATCGCTGCATCTCACTATCTTTAATACCGTGCAAGTATTCTGAAAAGGCGAAAGAAAAGAGACATGAACCGGGAACTATTCAACTAAAGAAGAACAGTGGAAACTATGAAGTGCAAGTGAATAAATGAATCACCTGCGTAAGCCTTGTCCTTGAAAATTAGTAAACTGCGAGGCATCAACAAAATGGAAAAAGAATCGCAACCGTCCAATCTTTCACAGCCATTCGTCTCTGTGCCCCCTTCTTCATAAACTTTATCATCAATTTTGTTCGTAGATGACTCTGTGCTGCTTCTCAAGTTTGGATGCGGGGTGAAATCCATAACAACAGGTGATCCAAGAGAGAGAATTGCCACTACTGGATAATAAGCAGGTCCATCTTGGTGCGGCTGAGAGGTAGGATGCAATGTCAAAAAAAAAAAAAAAAAAAAAAAAAAAAAAAACTAAAATAGGAGAGAATATATTGATAGAGTACTAGTAAGGAATTTGACGTCATAGTGAAAAATTAAGTCAACTAAAAAGATGAAGAAAGCCAAAGGAATGACTGAAGTCATAAGCATGCAAATGAACCAAATTGCAAAAGGACTCGAACCATTATTCCTTGGTCAGGAAGGTATTCGTTGATAAGCACATGATTAATTGCCGAGGGAAACAGCCCTGTTTCCTCTTGGATCCTCTGAGTAATTCTAGTTAACCAAGGAGGCACTGCAAGGAAGAACGGGTAACCATTACTTTGCGTCATATTTTAGTCATGTTTGCGTGTGCAAATGGTGCATCATACACGCAGAACAAATCAAAGCTAAATTAATTATCAAATTCTTGGGCAAAAATAGAGACCAAAGAATCTCTATATAGCTTGCGGCACATAGCATTTGTAAACCTCTATGACAGGGAACTGAAAATTAGTAAAACACAAGCCTTTGAAAATTTACCTTACCAGCTAATAAATCAAGCTACCTCACTAAACATGAAAACAGAAAACATTACCAATTATTTCTCTTCTTTTTTATCCTTTCCTTTTTAACATTTTAATAAAGGATGAAATTTAACTTATAAAGTTCCCATTTCCTGTCAGTGATTCCCATAGGCAAATCATCAACCTAACATGTAAACTATTAAGTATTAACTACTCTTTCTCCCAAATTTGTACCAGCTGCCATCACCCCCACTCAGCTTCTCAGTCATATAGACTAACAAATGGTGCAAGCTTATCTGATCTATTTAATGACTTATATTTCTACAATCCGGCCTCAGGCTAATGTCGCGGCGCCCGAGCTACCTTTCTGCACATTTCGAAGGTTAGCTACATTGTCCCAAACATTTTCTGTAATTGTACATAGTTTTTCCAAGTTTGTAAAATTTTCTAGAATCATGTACATAACTCTAGAGATGTAGAGATTCATAGAATCTTCTAGAATATTATAGAACCCATAGGATTGTATAGAGTGGCGGATGAGTATAAATATTCCTAATGGGACTCATTTTGTATCAACAAAGTTATGAGTTCTTAGCATTTCTCAAACTTTCTTGCGAGAACTTGCCTTACTCACTAACCATATCTATAAATTTGTTTCAATGCTTTCTTGCAAAATTCAATGACTTGTTTAGTAGTTCAATAAAAAATAAAAAGAAAAAGTATGGATACTAAATTCAGCTTAGAGGGCATTGCATAATATGTCAAACCTTACTAATTCATTTTATAGGCAAATCTTTATAATGTCTTTTGAAAATTTATCCATAAATTTGGAGCATCAAATTCCTTCATTACTAATCTAAAATATTGTTCAGTTAAAACACCAATTAATATGTAGAGATGAGAGATCTTGGAAATGCACAATTACAAAATAAAGAACTACATACACAGACAATGAGATATTCAGAAGATAATAAAATGACTTACAGTCTTGTGCTATAAGGCCTTTCTCATGTACAACACCTCCTGCAATGACCATATAGTTATTATGGGCAGCTCTTTAACTTACTTATCAAGATAAATTGGTAATATGATAACGGAGGAAAAAAAAATAGATATATTTTTGTACCCCAATTTTGTAGTCTCCTATTTTTTAAAGATTTCCATTTTGAAACAGGAGCTCCATAAATCTAGTCAGCAAACAGAGACATTTTGCACTCTCAAAATATTCTAGATTATAAAGATAAAAGAAGAATGAGACCAAAAAACATAATAGGAATGTAGTACATTCTTAACAATCTGCTCTTCTTCAGTGTCCCCAATGAAGTTGGGAATGTACATCACAGTTGGCACAGACCCAACTATGAATTTGTCTAAATGCCCATTTGTTTCCATCTCCACCCTCCAGTTGACTTTGGAGAATTAGTAAGCTCTATCCTGCAGCTAATCTCTATCATTTTCAAGATATGAATTCCATTAAACTAAGAGCAAACAAGGTAGAAGGCACTTATTTTCTATCATTTTCAAGATATGAATTCCATTAAACTAAAAGCAGACAAGGTAGAAGCACTTAATTTCCGGAATCTAATCACATATCCCCACAACTCTGAGAGCATGTACATGTAAACAAAAATTTAGCCTATTTCTAGAGATGGATAACCAGCTAGCTAATATAGATGAGATATAATCTGATATATAAGTTGTTTAAATTTGAGCAGATTTTATTATTTTAGCAAATTATGTATACCAATTGGTCAATTCAATTAATCAAACAAGAATAGGGTGGGAAACAAATGAGTATCTATGTAACTTCTGTGTGAATAAACTATCTTATTATTTATGAATGCCTAAATTATGAAGGACTCGGCAGGCGCCATCAACATTTTTCAGCTTATTATCACCCGCAACAAAGCAATTTACGTAGTTCCAAATTGATTAAAAAAATAAAATTAAAACAAGTATAGTAACCTTAACTGATTGTGGAGCAATGGCTGAGAGTGACGACGGCAGCAAATTCTGCAAGTGGCGGGTTGGGTTGAAAAAGTAGCAAAAGAAGGAGGAGGCGGCGCGGCGGTAGTATGAATTATTGAAAGGAGGCGAGAAATACGTAGCACTGCCGGGACTCGTCAGGGAAGAGCAACTAGATTCCTATATTTCAGAGGCAATGTGGTTTATATTCTTTCTCCTCTTCTGTTACTTTTAGCAGTCAACAATTGATTAAATTTTGAGTAAATTTCAATTTTGGCCATCTGACTATTAGATTTTTGTTATTGTAATTCACGATTTTTAAAATTGTTAATTTATTACTTTAATTATTTAACTTTTATGAATTTTGATGATCAAATTATCGGTCAAATCTCATCGAAAAATTTTAATTAACCAATTAATATTTAATGTAAGGAGCAAATTCGTCTTTTTAAGTCTGATCTGAATAGGGAAAATGATACTTGACCTGTTTTTGCGCGATACTTGACCAAAGTCAATTTCCTCCTCTAATCTGCCACTGATTGCAAATTGAAACCTAATTTATGAAGAACAACGAAAGAGGAGAAGAGGCGAAACCGCGAAAGAAGAGAAAATCGCAAAAGGAAGGAAGAAGGGACCACTGAAGTTAACCACTCTCCATCAACTCTCGCTGAAGTAACCATTGGAATGGCTATTTCGTCTTCTGCTAGTGGAATGGACAGTGCGTCCAATACTCTCCAAGCAAGTAAGATTTACTTTCTTTTTTGTTAAAAATACTCTGAAATTGGCATCTTTCATAGTCATACTGCCATTGTTTCGTTGTTGAGAGTATTTATTGTGTGTACAGTATGAAGTAAAATAGCACTGTTCAGAATATGTTTGGCATGTGCTTTATATATGCTGATAAGAATACATGTGAGGATCAATGTTTTTATATTTGTGTTAGACTAAAGATATATGCTTAGAAGATTACATGTGGGGACCAATATTTTTATACTTGTATCTAGTCTAGACTAAAGCACTATATTATTCTTGTGGGGACTAATTTGTTGAAAATTGTGTTGTGTTCTGTGTATATGGTTAAATATAGGGTTATGTGGGACCACTATGTTTATCTTTTTGTTGATATGTCATGTGCATATATTGGAGTTAGAAATACTGAAATGTGCTTTTACATTGTTCTTTTACTATTTTGGTGCTTTTACAGAAGATGAAATTGTCCATTTTTAAATTTTTTATTTTTCATAATGGAATAATAAATAGGCAAGGTGAAATTAAGTATTTGTGGGTGATATAGAAATATATGAAAGAGTGGAAACTAAGGAAGTGTATATACAATTCTTCAAGAATAAGCTAAAAGATATGGGGTATTCTAAAATAGGAGCATACATTTATGATGTTGCAAATGGTAGTCTTGATGGTTGTGTTGTAATGGAGTATGTACTCTTGGTTATTGACATGAAACTTTGACTCATGTTTTTGGAATTGTTTATGTACTCTTGATAGTTTGGTTAAAGATTTGACAATTTAAGTCAATTTTTTGTTTAATAAATTGTGTGCATTGTATTGAACGAAAAGGATCAGTTCATTATAATTTCTGGCTAATAAATTTTGTGCATGCCAAAAGGATCACTTTATACATTACACAATGAAAGGATAAGTACATTACACAATGACACAATATTTATTACTAACAAAAACTACAAATATTACAATCAATATTCATATTACAATCTTATTCAACCACTTCAATAGTTTGTCATCCTCCTTAGCACCTTTAAGCTTCATATTTAGTGTTCTTATTGCTTCATTTTGTCTATTTATGCGTTTTAGCAATCTCGGAATTATTCGCTTTGAACGATACCACATTGGAGGATTATAACAATCCACAAATCCACACCCCACCTAACTCTGTATTAAAAATTTCAAAAAAAAAAATAATAATAATAATAATAAAAACAAACAAACAATAAAAATTAAACTGGGCGTACTTTACAAAAAAACCACTGAAGCATTGCCAAAATCTTCGACCTAGATTCTCATTTGTCTATGAAGTTTGAATCTTTAATTGACGACCACATATACAATGGATAATTGGATACTTTTCTCCAAATTCATAGTACCCATTACTCGAAAAAAAAAAAAATAGAAATTACTCATACCCAGGTACAGTGGACTAGATGGAGAATGGCGCTGAAACCTTCCTCTTCATTCTTGTCTTCTCCTCTTCAACTCGTTCTTCTCTTCTTTTCTTTCTTGGCTTCGTTGTCCTCTTCTCCTCTTTGTCGCGCAAAATTTAGGGCGAAGAACAAGAGGAATTGCGCAAAAAATGGTCAAATATTACTTTCCCTATTCGAACCAGACTTAAAAAAAAATGAATTTGCTCCTTATATTAAACATTAATTGGTTAATTACAAAATTCCGGTGAGATTTGACAGCCAATTTGATCGGAGTGATGTAATGACGACGGGCTTTAGAATTTGAATTTGTGACCTTGTGATTACAAGTTTGTATTCTTAGCCATATTGGTTGAAGTCAAGAAAAATTATATTTTTTGCTTGGTCTTGCAGGTTGTCATAAAAAACAAATAAAATAATAGATGAGGGTAAGAATTTGAATGAATAGAACCCACAAAAAAAGAAATGGGAGTACAATTGAAGAAAAAATAGGAGAAGAAATTATCAAATAATGTGGAGGAGTTGAGCTCTCAATTTGGAGAGAACCACTGTGAATGTCGATACCAATTTTAGGCGCTTAAGCTTTCATATCATCACAGAGAATGGCCACAATCACATGAATCTAAAACTCCATTTTAAAGCTCATTATTCAAGTAATCAAATTTGTCATCAAGATCAAGAAACACCAACTAGAACAGTAGGGGCAGTGGCGGATATTTTACATTAACTTACCGCTCATACAACACCCCCCAAGTCATCATCTACAATAGAATTATTGTCTATAACATGAAAACGATATTAGAAACATAGGATTTTACATGCATTGCTGCAACTTGCAAGCAACCTCATGAATCTGGCTGCTCAGATTTAACGGCCAAACATGGTGAAGATCCTGAGTTTCCGTTCTGAAGGTATAGGCTGTTTGCGACCAGAGAGTCACTAACCAAACCCGCATCCACATCATCAAAGTTCAGTGCGCCTCTAAGTTTTCGACCACTGCAATTATTTATCTTGTATTAGGGTGTTGGGGGGAGGGAGGACATTGGTCATTAATTTGGACAATTCATCAGGAAAGTGCACATACCCGGCATTCAGGCGGTTATTGATGGCACTCAAGTCTTTTGAGGGGCTCTGATATGCATGAGTACTCTCTCCAACACAAGCATAATAGCTTTTAGAGCCTTGAGATATCAAAGTATCCATCTGCAGACAGAACCAGAACAAGAAAGAAATAGTCAAATGACCAAAAAAAAAAAAAAGAAGTGCACTAGAGAATTCTCGAAGCCTGAAAAAATTATAGGGAGTGTTTTCTAAATAGCTGTTAGCTGATTGGGTTAGTGGGTTTGACTAGTTGATACTTGATAGCATTAGCTGATTGTACAAAGATGTTTGGTAAATTAGTTGTTAGTTGATAGCTGATTATATACAAAAGGAGTTTATCAAAAAGCTGCTTTGAGCAACTTTTTAAATTTTAATGTTTTGGAGCAATAAGCTGTTACAAAAAAACTAATTAATCAAACACTCATATTAGTTGTTTAACCAAGTCAAACAAGCCAAAATTGACAAATAGGCTAACTATTTTACCAAACAGGGCCATAATCTTTTCTGTAGAAGATTCTATGAAGCACACAAATAATTAACATATCTTGGGAACATAAACAAGTCATTTTCAACATGAACATATACTTTATGTGGAGATGCAATGGCCTCAGGCAATACAGTGACTGACATTTGAGAGAACTATAGGCATGCTCATAGTCATTATGCATTATAAGCTAACAGAACCAAAATTAAAACAAATAAAGATAGTTGACTAGCATGTTCCTGTCAGTCTGGCACATAGGATTAATTCAATCAACTAGGTTTCTGGGTTTAAGTGTTTAACAAATACCTACAGAAAGTTATATTTCTGTTGAATAAACTGGGAAGATCTATTTATGTAGCTTGAATACCTTCTGGATTACACAAAGACTACACATATATGTACCCATAGGCTAACCTAGAGTATATCACCCACATAAGCTCTACCAACCTGTTCCAATCGTTATACCGTGCACCAGGGCGCACATTGCTATGTGCGCCCCGCACCTCCCAAAACGACGTTGTTTTATATTCTGTTATAAAATTCTGTGTTTTCAAGTATAAAATTCTGTACATTCGATATAGGGGATTTTTATCCTTTTAAAAAAGATTCTGTGTTTTCAGGTATAAAATTCTATGTTTTCTATTATATAATTCTGTACATTCGAAACATGGGAATTTTCCGTTATAAAATTCTGTGTTTTCAGGTATAAAATTCTGTGTTTTCTATTATATAATTCTGTACATTCGAAACATGAGGATTTTCATTTATAAAAATTCTGTGTTTTCAAGTATAAAATTCTGTGTTTTCAGGTATAAAATTCTGTGTTTTCATGTATAAAATTTTGTGTATTCTATTATACAATTCTGTACATTCGAAATGTAAAAAAAATTTTAAGGAGTTAACAGCAGACGCGCGAAAAAGTCTAAAACGACGTCGTTTTGGTGCATTGTGCGCCCTGGTGCACGGTATAATTTGCCACCTGTTCACACACTTACAGCACAAATGAATTTTGGAAGAACAGAAATCATGTTCCATGGGGAATAGAATAGGAAATTCTAGTCTATTGTTTGGTTTGTGAAAGGAATAAACTTCATAAATTGTATTCAAATGTTTGCTTGGTTTAAGGAATAGAAGTGGAATACACTTCCAAAAGACATAAATACCCTTTATTATGAATGATGTGTGTAAAATAAATAAATAAATATTATTATTATTATAGAACAAATTTTTATTATACTCCGTATAACAAAAATAATCAAGGCAAATTAGACATTACGAAAATAGGTTATTCCTAAATACTCAAGAATAGCCTAATACAAGGCCCCCTCCTAGGAATACCTATTCCCCTTGCAAGGGGAATAACTCATTCCTAAGAATAAAAGATGACCATAAACATTATAACGAAAAAAACCTTTGAAAAATG